CGTGGGTTCGATTGGTCTTGATGGCAATGGGTTTGGTTCTGGTTATTATCTGAATGTGTGTATATATGTGTACACAAATAGCGATTTCTGTAGCCAAGAGGGTGCAAAACTCAAAAGAGTAGTAACTGTGATTCCGTTTGAATATAATAAACATTTATAATATAGATATTTTATTATTTGAGAATGAATAATACCAAAAACCAAACTCACTGCCATTGAGTTAATGCCCACTGATAGCGACCCAATGGAGCAGGGTAAAACTGCCCCTATGGGTTTCTAAAACTGTAACTTTACAGGAGTAGAAAACCCCGTCTTTCTCCTGGAAATGAGTAATAGTGCATTTTAATTTGTAGGAGAAGGAGAAAAATACATAGACTCTCATGACAATTTGCGTTATTCAGATGCTGGTGTCCGGGCTGCACCGATCGGTAGTGTGTATTGTTAGTACTACCTACCTGTAGTTCCTATGTTCAGGAGTGAATCCCATGATCTCCTGGAAAAGATAACTATATTATGGAAGTTCACCGTATAGATTTCTAAGAAAGAAGACATAGTGAGAATACGAGCATGAAAAGGGCTGCAGGTAAGGAATGTTCCATTGTTAGACTGGTAATTCATCTTCGATGGTGTCCCTTTCGGAATATAAAAGGAGGCTGCTGATCAGGTTCTGACTTGAATATTGGGTTCATGTAACAGCAACCCTTTTTTTTCTAATATGTTTTTTTTTCTTTCTATTTATTTTTAAATCATTTTATTCGGGGCTCATACAACTCTTATTACAATCCATACATACATCAGTGGCGTAAAGCACATTTGTACATTCATTGCCCTCATCATTCTCAGAACATTTGCTTTCTGCTTAAACCCCTGGCATCAGCTCCTCATTTTCCCCCCTCTCTGCCCCCTCCCTCATGAACCCTTAATAATTTATAAATTATTATTTTGTCATATCTTACACTGTCTGACGTCTCCCTTCACCCACTTTTCTGTTGTCCGCCCCCCAAGGAGGAGTTTATATGTAGATCCTTGTAATCGGTTCCTCCTTTCCACTCCACCCTCCCGGTATCGCCACTCGCACCACTGGTCCTGAAGGGATCATCCATCCTGGATTCCCTGTGTTTCCAGTTGCTATCTACCAGTGTACAACTCTGGTCTAGCCAGATTTTTAAGGTAGAATTGGGATCATGATAGTGGGGGTGGGTGGGGGAAAGCATTTAGGAACTAGAGGAAAGTTGTATGCTTCACACTGCACCCTGACTTGCTCATCTCCTCCCCGCGACCCTTCTGTAAGGGGATGTCCAATTGTCTACAGATGGGCTTTGGGTCTCCACTCCGCACCCCCCTTCATTCACAATGATACGATTTTTTGTTCTGATGATGCCTGATCCCTTTGACATCTAGTGATCGCACAGACTGGTGTGCTTCTTCCATGTGGGCTTTGTTGCTTCTGAGCTAGATGGTAAACAAGCGGTTGCTTACCTATCAAGCCTTTAAGACCCCAGACTTTATAGCCAGGCACCATCAGCTTTCTTCACCACATTTGAACAGCGGCCTATAAGATGCCACTCTCCATTGAACACTTTGCTAGGAGCAGAAGGGGAAAAGATGATGGAGACCTAGTCTCTACCCTCAGGGAGCCTGTTACCTAAAAGCCACCTGTTCTGCAGAATCTGGTCTCTTTGCTGTTCCCGAAGTTCCTGATATATAAGCTTGATTTAACTTTTATCACAGTGTATTTACTTGTTTGTCTCCTTAGCGGATTCTCCTTGAAGGACCATCTTCCTTCTGTATTTCTAGGTGTGGCTCAGTGCTTGGCATATTTAAATGAATGGCTAAAAAGTAAGAGAAGGTAAAATATTTGAGAGTTCAGACAAGGGAGAGGACACCTTCACCCAGAGGAAGTAGGAAAGGCTTGTGGAGAGGGAATTCCAGGTTGGAATCTGGCCCGTGGGCAGAGAAGCAGCAGTCATATTTGGGGACTGTCCAGTGTGTCTGTTGGACTTGTTAAGAGCAACCGAAAGAGGCTGGGGTGCTGTTTGGGGTCTGGGCTTCCAGTAGCATTGTATGTATTTTTTCCTCTCTGCAGTGGGGACAGATGACATTTTAGGGTAGACGCTGAAGGTGCAGACGTTGTTCTCAAGCTGGGAAAGAGGTCGTGAGAACTAGGATTACATTCTTTGCTTTTGAGGCAGAAAAAGGAAAAGGGTGCTGTAACCCAAGAACATGTGGATTGAGGAAGAAAGAGGAGAAAGCAAAAATGGAGCTCCTTTTATTATTTATCCAGGAACCTTGAAGCATAATAATACAACTGAAAGAAATGTGGGTGGGTTTGTGAATCTGGAAGGGAGAAAAATCAGACAGGATAGTTACTTTCGTGCATTATCAGATGGGATGTTTTGATAATCCCCAGGTGGCAGCTAAAATGCTGAATTATAATTCAGAAGAGTTTAGGCTAATGGGTCTCAAATTTTTCAATTATGAGGACAAATTGTTTTGTTTTGTTTTTAATCATTTTATCAGGGACTCATACAACTCTTACCACAATCCATACATACATACATCAATTGTGTAAAGCACATTTGTACATTCATCGCCCTCATCATTCTCAAAACATTTGCTCTCCACCTAAGCCCCTGGCATCAGCTCCTCATTTTTCCCCTCCTTCCCGCTCTCCCCTCCTTCATGAACCCTAGATAATTTATAAATTATTATTTTGTCATATCTTGCACTGTCTCCCTACACCCATTTTTCAGTTGTTCATCCCCCAGGGAGGAGGGCACATGTACATCCTTGTAATCAGTTCCCCTTTTTGAGGACAAATAGTTACTCTTAAGTAAAATTTACAAATACCTAGCCATTGTACTTTTGGTGATTGAGAATACAAAAATGATTATGACTGCTATGAATTTACTTACATTTTAAAATTAAGACCGTATTTTTAAAGTCACTCAAAACCAAAACCCATTGCCATCAAGTCACTTTCAACTTAAAGCGACCTTATTGGACAGTGTAGAACTGCTCCACAGGGCTGAAGACCACATCTTTTCCAACAGCATGCTGCAGGAAAACGCTGCTATGTTTAAAATTCGGTGAACAGCCAAGCATTTAACCACTGCACCACCAGGGTCTCCCTATCTACATGCTGTACCACCCGCCAGTCTGTTACCTCTCCTCGCCCCCGCCGCTATCAAGTCAATGCTGACTCCGTTAGCTATAGTTTGGTTCAATATAGACTCTTCCTGTAGTGGGAGGGCAGGCGGATTCTCCTGTGGGTGATCTAGACGTTAGAAGGTGTCTTGAGGACTGTGGTGTTACGAACAGAAAGTGAACCTAAAGAACATGTACAGCCACAGAACTATAGGAGTTTGTGGCGCCCAGAGGCTATATTAAATAGGGATCTTCTAGTGTAGCTTTACCAAATAGCCAAATGATGGGACTTTCCTGAGTTGCAACTCAGGGACTTGAGTCCCGATATTTTTCAAAAATACTGTGGTCCGTTTCCTGGGTATTAGCAGTGAATGTCATTCATTGTTAGCTGCCAACAAGTTGCCCAAACTCAAGGCAGCCCCCCGCACATGGAGTGGAACACTGCTCAGTGCTGCACTCCTCAATCCCTGTGGCTGTTTGCAGACTGGACATTTGTGATCCATAGGGTTTTCATTGACTGATTCTGTAAGCAGATCCCCAACCCTTACTCTCTAATCTGTCATAGTCTGAAAACTCTGCTGATCCATTCAACATCATAGCAACTTGCAAGCCTGCACTGATTGCCCCTGGGCTATATTGGCCAGGAACTGAACTTGGGTCTCCTGCATGGAAGGCAAGAATTCTATCACTGAATTACTAAACAGCTGTAGCAGAAAATAGTGTGTTCCTGTTCAGTTGTTTGTGTATTTTTGGAAGTCATCAGGTCACTGGGCAATGCCCATATTAGCCATTTTGAAACAAATAACCATAAATTTTGAGGAGCAAACTTCAGCTGCCCAGAGGGTTTCAGGAGATGAGGCTACCCAGGAGTTTGTTCTTAGCATGGCTGGAAGAAACATTTTTTTCTCTCAAGGTGACTACAATTTGGGGTAACATTTTGGCACATGGTATACAGTGCAAGTCCTAGGTGTGGTGCCTTCCTCACCTTGAGGGATGTTTCTGACAATCCTCTGCTTGCATTATCTCCCGTTAATTATTGCTCTCTTCTGTTCTGAAAGCAGAGTTATTTGCATTTAAAACCTCCTGTAATTTTTTCCCTTGAAGGCTACAGGGTTATTTTATTCCTTTGGCTGCTTTGATTACAATAAGTTTGTTTGTTTTAAATGGAAATATTTGGCCAACTCCTCTTTGTATGTGGGAGGTCTGCAGATAACTGTGTGCAACACTTGAATGCTACTGAGAGGTCAGAAAGTGCTTTCCTGGGTCCTGTTCTGTCTCTTTAAAGCAGCGGTTCTAAACCTGTGGGTCGAGCCCCCTTTGGGGGTCAAATGAACCTTTCATGGAGTCATCCGATTCATAACAGTAGCAAAATTACAGTTATGAAGTAGCAACGAAAATAATTTTTTTAGGGGTGAGGGGTGTCACCACATGAGGAACTGTATTAAAGGTACATGCCATTAGGAAGGTTGAGAACCACTGATACAGAGGGAATGCTTCCTAGGAGCTGGCTGTAGGCAAATGCTTCTTGTTTTTATTGTTTTTAATCATTTTATTGGGGGCTCTTACAGCTCTTTTCACAATCCATCTATCCATTATGTCAAGCACATTTGTGCATATGTTGCCAACATTTTCTTTCTACTTGAGCTCATGGTATCAGCTCATTTCTCCCGCTCCCCCGCCCACCCCCCCTCCCTCATGAACCCTTGATAATTTTTTTTTCATGTCTTACCTTGTTTTTGTTCTTATATTGCATTTCTAAATCCAATGATATCTAACTTACTTGGTTTAAGGAGTTTGGGGCAAACATGTTAAGTATTTCTTGTCTTTTTTTTTTTTTTTTTGCAGGTTAAACCCATCCACAGTAATGGCTGCAGCTTTACCCAGGACCCTGGGCGAATTGCAGCTATATAGAATATTACAAAAAGCCAATCTGCTCTCTTATTTTGATGCCTTTATCCAACAAGGTGGTGATGATGTCCAGCAGCTCTGTGAAGCCGGAGAAGAGGAGTTTTTGGAAATCATGGCACTTGTGGGCATGGCTAGCAAGCCCCTTCATGTTAGAAGATTACAAAAGGCTTTGAGAGACTGGGTTACAAACCCCGGCCTTTTTAACCAGCCTCTGACTACCGTTCCAGTCAGTAGCATACCCATCTATAAGCTGCCGGAAGGCTCACCGACGTGGCTGGGAATCTCCTGCAGTAGTTATGAAAGGAATAGCGGTGTCCGGGAACCTCACTTAAAAATCCCTAAATGTGCTGCCACCACCTGTGTGCAGAGCTTAGGACAGGGGAAGTCAGATGTGGTGGGGAGCTTAGCGCTGCAGGGCGTGGGTGACTCCAGACTCTGGCAAGGCCACCATGCCACTGAAAGTGAGCACAGCCTCTCCCCAGCCGACCTTGGCTCCCCGGCTTCCCCTAAAGAAACCAGCGAGGCACTGGATGCTGCTGCTGCCCTCTCTGTGGCAGAGTGCGTGGAGCGGATGGCCCCCACGCTACCCAAAAGTGACTTGAATGAAGTGAGAGAGCTGCTGAAATCCAACAAAAAGTTGGCCAAAATGATTGGCCACATCTTTGAGATGAGCGATGATGATCCACACAAAGAGGAAGAGATTAGAAAATACAGTGCAATCTATGGCCGATTTGACTCAAAGAGAAAGGACGGGAAACATCTCACACTTCATGAGGTAAAAATTGCACTTTGTTCTTCATAGCGTATGGGAGTGCTACTGTTCCGTAGACATGTGCTTGGTAATAGTTTGCAACAAGGAAGATAATACCCTCTGAGGACTGTTTCCAAAACATTGAGGTGTTGGTATTATAGTAGCCCCCCCCCCCATTGGACTTTAATACTCCTAAGTTTGGAAAACTTTCAGAATCTAAACATTGAAAATATGAAGTCTTTTCATTTATAAGGCAGCTTATATTTTAGCAAGGAAACAAAATAGTATAAATAGAATCATTTGTTCAAAAATATATTGTAAAAAAAACAACTTAAAGCCATTTCAGCTAGCACAGAAATCAAAATTAGATGAGCATTGGGAACATTATTGCTGCTTTGAACATTGTTTTGATTTGGCATTAGTTCTTCTTGTTTCATCTTTTTAGTGCTCCCCCCCAGAAATATTCTGTGTATGTACAAGGAAAATACAGACACATACAGCTTCTCAGCTTCTGCAGTTATTGCCTTTCTCCTATTTGTCCAGCATTTCAAAAGTTTAATTTTTTTATTCCTATCCTTTTTTGTTTAATTTTTTATTTATTTTCCTTTCGAAGGATTTTTATTAAATTAAAAAATATTACTGTTCTTTTGAAGAAAGAAATAAAACCTCCTTGGAAAAAATGTCCAGGTGAAATGCAATTATTTCGTGTTTAACATCAGATCTTGTCCCCTTCACCTTTTTTTTTTAAATTGAATATGTGCTCATGACAAAAGGATGTGAAAGAAGCAAATGCCTTTCTCTTCATATAAGTGATAAAAAATATCACTGTTTTGCATGTCGATGCTGTTAGTTACCATTACGTCTCCAAATAAACAATATTTTAAAAAACATACCAATATATTCACAGTACAATATACTATTTTAGGTGTCTTTTCAAGCAGAACCCATAGAGCTACTTTGTTATTTTATGGGCTGTATTGTATTCCATAGTATTGATGCAGCATAATGTATGAATGGTTTTCACTTTAAATTAGTTGTTCACTTGAGTTGTTTTCAATTTTTTGGTATTATATACTGTGGTACGTGCACACCTGTACCGACTAGTGTATATATTTCTATGGAATGGGTTCCAATGTATAACATTGTAGGGTCAAAGAAGATGTAGATTTATCACTGTAGTGACAACAACAAAGCTAAACCTCTGCCGTCAAGTGCATTCCAACTCTAGGGACTGCATAGCACAGGCTACACGTGCCCCCGGGGGATCCAAGGCTGCAAATCTTTATAGAAGCAGACTGTATATATTCCCTGGGTGGCTGGTGGGTTTAAACAACTGACTTTCTGGGTATCAGCTGATTGTTTATCCACTATACCACTATAGCTCAGCCCCAACATCACAACATTTTAAAAGATAATAACTAAAAACATAAAACAAATTATTTATATGTCTGCCATCATTATATGCAAGTGCCTCTTTCTCTGTACACTTGCTAACATTAGATTTTACATTTTCTCACACACACACACACCCCCACACAATCTCTGTCAGTGTAATAGAGGAGCGTGGCGTAGTGGTTACAAATTGGGCTGTTAACCACAAGATCAGCAGTTTGAAACCACCAGTCTAAGAAAGATGGAGCCTTCTCCCATAAAGAGATACAGTCTCAGAAACTCATGGGGGTCAGTTCTGTGCTGTCTTACAGGGTTTCTATGAGTTGACATCAACTCATTGGCAGGGAGTTTGGCTTTTGGGGGGTCAGTTTAATAGATGACACGTTTTCATTGTTTTAGTTTGCTTTCCTTATTGAAGATAAATCTTTGCACATATTTAACAGAAATCCAATATAAAGTTCATTTTCTTTGTTTTAATGTTGGCATTGTTTGTCTTTTGAAAAATTGGTTGGTAAGATCTTTTTGTATTTTAAAGATATTAACCCTTTGTCATAGGCTGTGAACATTTCCCCAGGTTTGCATTTGTCCTTTGACTTTGCAGTGTTTTCCGTTTCAATATTAATGGTATGTAATACTTACCTATTGATCTTCGCCTATGTGGTTTCATTAATTCAAGTTTCTAATCTTAAACCAGTGTAGAGACTTAAAAAATTATTAGAGTTCTGTATTATATTTTGATATCGAGAACATACCCCTTCATTAGTTTTATTTTCAGCCCTTATGGGATGTTTTGTTTTGTTTTTGTTTTTTAGCATTTATCCTTATAAATGGAATTTTAAATAAAATAATTTGTCAAGTTCTTCATAAAATTCCTGTTGATGTTTTATTTGGCAATGCCTTAAATGTATATGCTAATTTAGAGAATTAATACACATACAATAATGAGGCTTTTCTTATAGGATTAGGGGATATGTATTTGATAGTTAGATCTTTTATATTTCTCAGTAACAGTTATTTTAGATAGGGTATGCACATGTTTTGTCATATACTATATATTGTATATGTACACTAATTGTCTAGTAATTAGTAATTAGTTTCTTTATTTGGAAATTGCAAACTCATTACATTCTTTTTTTAATTGATTTTTTCTATTACATTCTTTAATCTTAGATATTTACAAAAACTTAATTATCTTTTTCTGATTTTCAAATAGCATATATACTTGAGTATAAGCCAACCCGAATATCAGCCAAGACACCTAATTTCACCAGAAAAACTACATAAAAAATGTGCTGAAAAACTCGGCTTATCAGTCAAGGTGCAGTATAGCACCGATGAAACACACAACTTCCCTATAGTTCTGTGGTGCTTCCTTCACCCCGCTATCATGACCTCAATTTTACCTTACAAATCAGATTAGATCAGAGCATGCACACTGCTAAAGGGAATCAAGGATAGATAAACCCCTCTGGGCCAACAATGAGAGTAGAGAGACCAGGAAGATTAGGCGAAGGTGGGGGTAGGAAGGGGGAATCTATCACAAGAATCAATATATAACCCCCTCCCAGAGAGATGAATAACAGAAAGGTGGGTGAGGGGTGACGGAGGATGATGCAAGATATGGAAATAATAATCTATAACTTATCAAGGGTTCGTGAGGGAGAGCGGTTGGGAGGGGGAGGGGGGAGAAATGGGGAGCTCATATCAGGCTGAAGTGGGAAGAGAATGCTTTGAAAATGATGATGGTGACATATATGCAAATGTACTTGACACCCTGGATGAATGTATGGATTGTGATAAGAGATATAAGAGCCCCCAATAAAAATATTTTTAAAAAACAGACATGACTTATACTCGAGTATATACAGTAGTAAGGTTCGGGGGGTGGGGGATCAAATGATCGTAATACCTAGAGGTATACTTAATATGTACAGATATACTAAGTATGCCCGAAGTGCTCCTTAGAGGCAAGGATGGCAAGACTCCGTCATACATACTTTGGACATATTTTCAGGAGACACTAGTCCCTGAAGAAGGACGTTGTGCTTGCTAAAGTGGAGGGGCAACGAGAAAGAGGAAGGCACTCAGCGAGATGACTGACCTAGTGGCTGCCACCATGGGCTCAGGCACAGGAACAGCTGTGAGGACGGCACAGGACCAGGTAGTGTTTCCTCTGCTGTGCACATGGTCACTGTGGATCAGAACCAACGCAATGGCACCTAGCAGTTGCAACAGCCTTTATTTGATTTGTATAGTATATAAAGGGAAGATAGTCGTGAATAGGGTTTTTCTCTCACTGGTTTTTTTAAAGCCCATTACTATAAATCTTGTTTTAAGCAATTTACCATTAGATTTTCAGAAGTTAAATCATTATAGATAAGAATCAATACTAGAGCCTAAGATCAGAGAATTGATTGGCAGTGACGTAGTAAATCTGTGATTTTATCTGGTTTGAGATATGGATATATAGATGTGTATGTGTGTAATGAGCCCTGGTGTAGTAGTTGCTCATTGGGCTGCGACCTGTATGGTCAGCGGTTTTAAACCACCAGCATTTCTGCGGGAGAAAGGCTGGGCTTTCTACGCTTATAAACAGTTAGTATCGGAAACCCACAGGAGGGGTTGCTATAAGTCAGCATTGACTCGATAGCTGTTCTGTAAGTTATATCTTAAAATTACATGTAATTGCAGTTACCCTGTTTCCCCAAAAATAAGACAGTGTCTTATATTAATTTTTGCTCCCAAAGTTGCGCTAGTTCTTATTTTCAGGGGATGTCTTATTTTTCCATGAAGAAGAATACATACGGTACACGTTTATTGTTTTATTAAAAGAGACCTCACACTTCCTGTCTGCTCTGGCTGCGCTGTGGCCAACAGTGAGCTGCGCAGTGGTGCCCTCCACTAAGGTCCAGAGTTACGGTAGCTTTGAGGGGCCTTATTTTCAGGGTGGTCTTATTTTCAGGGGGATGCTTTATATTTCAGCAAGAGGCAAACGATAAATAGGTCTTATTTTGGAGGGATGTCTTACTTTCGGGGAAATGGTAGTATTATAATTCAGACATCTTTGACATTTTTTACTACCTGAACTTGGAGATCTCCATTTAAAAGGTTACTGTATTTGTCAATAATAGAAAATAATGGCCCCAAACTGATGGCAATTTAAGTTTCATGAGTAGATAAATTTTTATTTAATTTTTAAACATAGCATATGAAATATATAATTGAGTTACAAGAGCTGTATTATTCTCAAAATAAAAATATTTTCAAGAGATTGCTTTTTGTAAACCCAATCAACTTTTCATTTTCTCCCTTTCCTTACTTTAAAAAATAAAACACCAAAGAATTACTTGACACTTAGCCTTTTACTGTGGGACTCTTTCTCTTCAGATAAATAGATACAGATGCTATTTAAGTAATGAGACCTTTGTGGGTTTCCCAAAATAAGGGAACACTCAAAATGATTGCCAGTAGGCTGAGGTGTGGGGGTAGGGTCTTTGGAAAATGTGGCTTCTATATTTGAAACTTAAGCCATTTGTTACTTATAATTCAAATATGTGAACTGGTCAATAATATAGTTTAGGATATAAGTTTAAGTATCAGAAGCTTTCTTCAAACTAGCTTGAAGGAAATGA